TTCTACGCGTTCACCTAATTCGATAAAAAAAAACTCCAATACGGTATTGTTTTGGGCGGGGACCTGGTAGGGCCTGCCCATTTCGGTTCACGATATGTCCAAATAGCGGCAGTATGTATCTAACTTACCTGGTCAAAGGAGTAATAAAGAATATAATATAGCTTAGTTTGTCTTGAAAAAGAAAAGAAAAGAAAAAAAAATCTCAGCATCGTTTTGGGTCATGCCATGCCACTGTTGACAACTGAATCGCTCGATTTTCCTTGGGTTGGAGGGAGGAAAGAGAGGACGAAAACTGAATTTCACATTTATTCTATTTTGTTGATTTCAGGGGTAAACTACCGAATCGATTGATTGCTGAAGTCAGTTATCGACTTGCTTTTTTTCCTTAGTCCCTTGCTTGATGGCAGTGTCAATGGTTCAGCGGCGCAATCTATCCTGAATTGTTTGGTTTCCGGGGTGACCGTGCCGTATGCTTCAGCCAAGAAGGGTGTTGGCCGTCCTGTATCAAATGCGGAGTCACGTTCATCATCATCATCATCATCATCATATCACCACCATGATGATGATGATGATGATGATGATCATATAGTAGTTGTCATTTGAGGAATCAAAATCTTTATGTTATTCCACTTGCCGTAAAAAAAAAAAAAAAAAAAAAAAGTACTCATTCCAAATATGCCTCGAGGACAGGTCAAAAGCCCCAATGGAAGATCTTTGTCAGACTTGCCCAGAAGCGCAAGCATGGGGGTTTGACTACCATCTTCACCGGAATAGAATGTATGGATCTAGACTGAAAATGGCCCCAAATACAGCTATAATGACCTTATGGTCTATTCGGGGGAAGACGGTAGTTGGACTAGATGTAGGTTGCACCTATAATGACCTTATGCTCTATTCGGGGGAAGACGGTAGTGGGACCAGATACGTTGCACCTTTATGGTTTTTTTTTTTCTGGATTTCAGTATCCGGAGGTAGAGTCCCATGTTGCCAAATTCTGTGTTTGGGCCCACTGATCCTCATAATCTGTGGTCCCGGGACAAACAGAAACTGGAACCCTCACTCCATGTACTCTTCCCTCAACTCTGATAGTTTATGTATATCTGCTGTCTTCTTTGATATCCCTTGCCTGTCTGATCTCTGCGAGCAATAAAAAATTGTTGCTGAGTCTCTGGGCCTCGGACCATGGCGGGGAATAAAAAATCGCCGAAAATTTCCCGGAAGTTTCTTCTGATCTTACCAAGCTTCAAATAGCTACTACTACAAGTCCCAAAAAACAAAACAAAAACAATGATACAATCCAATTCAGTGGCTGGTTTGCACAGGTGAAATGCACAGGTGAATTGATAAACAAGATCACTTGGGGAGTTCCGGAAGGATGAAGGCATGTCTTCGTCCTCCGGTGCCACAGCAGTCTTTGACTTGGTGTTTTGTCTGCAGATAGCAGCACAGCTTCGGGCAGCGGAGCGCACTGATGAAGCAATCAAAATTCTGCGGTAGGTTAAGATGTCAACAGTAAAATACCTCCGTAAGTAGTAACTGTTGTGATTATCTCGCAATCAAAAACTTACTGCAGCAAGTTTTGATGAGAAAAGTTATGAACAGTGAAATACCTCTAGTTTGTACTTCCCTCACTCCTTCTTCTTCTTCTTCTTCTTCTTCTTCTTCTTCTTCTTCTTCTTCTTCTTCCGTTTATTGGGTTTTAATTAAACCATTAAGGTTGTGTGATTCATGCAATGTCTGACAAAAAAGACATGCGCAAAATTGGAGGCTTAGGTTCTTTGTGACCTGTTGCTTATGTTATGATGCTAATTGGCAGCATGCTTCAATATGACTTCCTTTTGTGACCGGATTTTATGTGAAGGATATGATCTTAGAACATGCTAGTAGCAAACATAGTAATATACTATATAATAGTAATATACCATAAAATAAGTGGTATTTGGGGAATTTTTGGCCCTTTGGCTTGGTGGCCTTTCTGTATTATCGACTTGTAAAAAGCTCTTATTAAAGTTATTAACTTATTATTCTTTTACATACTTGCGGTGCGCGGACCTGAGGTGCGCGCGCACCGCGCACCGGGTGCGCAGTGCGCTGCGCTCAGGGCCGGTGCCGTCTGCCGGGGCGCAGGTGCGCCGGGTGCGCACACCATTTTTTATTATTATTTTATTTTACTGTTTGTTTAGGGATTTATTTTACTGTTTTTTTTTATTTGAGAGAGAGAGAGAGAGAGAGGTCTCCAACGTCGTGGCTGGCCTCCTGGTACTTCCATCGAAACTACGAGCAAAATCGAGTGAATCTACGGCTGCAACATGGAAATATACACCGCCACATTTGTGTGTGTGTGTGTGCGTGCGTGTGTGTGTGTGTGTGTGTGTGTGTGTGTGTGTGTGTGTGTGAGAGAGAGAGAGAGAGAGAGAGAGAGAGAGANGAGAGAGAGAGAGAGAGAGAGAGAGAGAGAGAGAGAGAGAGAGAGAGAGGAAACCGTGTGAGAGAGAGAAGAAACCGTGTGCTGACACTATCGGACCGAAGAAACCGCCCTTATCAACGGGCAACATGAATCCAGAAGCGGGGCGACATGCACAAAGGACAAAAAATATGGCGGTGTATCTTTCCATGTTCTGGCGGAAGATTCATTCATAAGTTGGGTGGTGGAGAACGAAGGGCTGATGAATCCGGTAAGCACGTAACGTATCTCTGGAAACTTTTTTTTTTTTTTTTTGGAGAATCTCTGAACAAATGAGACTGAATCCTCCGCTTGAACATGGAAAGATACATTGCCATATATGGGCCTCGCTGCACTACTCTGGAAATCTGCAAAACGAGAGTGAATCTTGCGTTAGAATATGGAAAGATACAACGCCAATATTTTCGTCTTTTGTGCATGTTGAGACTCGAGAGTAGTGCAGCGAGGCCCTATGTCTTGTTGTGCATGTCGAGAGTTGTGCAGCGAGCCCGTTGGTGAACATTACCATTGAGGTTCTGACAGGTTGGACGCGCCGGGCTTTACTCGTGCAAAGAGCTGTTCTTCCTTTACGTTTTTTTCCTTTTATTAAAAAAAAAACAAAATCCAGGAAAAATGGCTGCCAGTTCCGTCGTTTTCTACTTCAGAAGTAATACGAAGAGAACGTTTTGAGAAATCGCGACCCTCATCATGACTGAATTTGGCCTGCAAGAACCCTACCATACAGACTGCAATAACCCTACCACACACACAGAGTGTTACCCAAACTACAGGTTACTCAAAGCTTTCAGGCCAACGCGCGGCCTCCAAAAAAAATTTGGCTGCCCGTTTCTTATTTTACGCGAGCAGGGGGCCGGGTCTATTACCGCCCCTCACAACGTTTTTTTTTTTTTTTTGACCCCCATTTTTGGAGGTGCGCCGCATGCAGTGCGCCCGCCTCGTGCCGGATGCGCGGTGCGGCGCACGTGCGGAGTGCAGCGCATCGCGATGCGCCGCAAGTATGTTCTTTTCATTTACTTTTTTGTCACTTTTCGTACTCCAGCCAATGCTTTTAAGCAAGACATTGAAACTTGAAAAAGATGTCAGTCATGTCATAATGCTCCCCTTCTCCAATTTCAATCCCTTTGATACTTTCGGCTTCTGGAAGTGTTTCCGTAGCGTAGGACATATTTGGCCAAAGACAAGCAGGGCAAAATTGATTATTAGGAAGACGACCCGTTGTTTGTGGTGCTGCTTTGAATCCCGTAGGCCATCCTCATGAAGGAGGGAGAAGGACGGACAAAAGGAGACTTCAAATTGACAAATCCTGTTTCTGTTTGGGGAAAACCAACCAAAGGTGAATGTAAAACAGCAGTAAGGAAACAAAATAAAAAAATTAAGTTAGGACACAATCTATATTTGAAAAAGCATTTTGTAGCTGGCTTTGGGAGGAGGGCTGTTTGAGTGTTTGGCCATTGGGGCCCGGTTTGAGTGTCGAATGTTGTGTGTGGGTTGTGTGTTGAGAATGGTCTGATGATCTCTGGGTCATGTCTCGTGTACTCACCATGGGCGGGGGTAGAGGCGATAGATGGGCTGAGGGAGGGGTAGATAGATAGGGTGGGGGTGGGTAGATAGGATCTTGTGTAGGCTGTCTGTGGGTGCCGCCTCGTTCGTATGGGCTGCTGTGTGGGTGTAGCTGGGTTGCGTCTGGGTACCACGGGGTTTCCCGGCCTCATAGTTCACCAGCGAGAGTCCATACTCTACTACTCACATTGTACGATCCTAGGCACCGGATAGACCCCGCTCTCTACACCCCCCTTGAGTAGTGGTAGTGGTTGGGTGTTAGGCATATACGATTCCCATGGGCGGGCTTCAGGTTGATCTTACGATGCTTGTGGGCTGAGCTTCTTCCGGGGTTGGTTCCTGTCTGAGTTCCCACTGAGGGGTCGATTGGGGCGTGAGTCTGGGGAAGGGCTTCTAGGAGGGTGGGCTGTCGCCTTGATGTAGAAGGGTGGCTTCGCTGCCCATTGAGTCTGCATGATGTGATACAGGTTGTGAAAGACCGGGTACACCTGTGACCCCTCCTGTATCCGGGTTGTCCCCGAGTCTTCGGGGTGTTCCTATGGTAGCACCCGGGGAGGACGTGTGTCTCCGACTGCTCGGAAGGCGTGGGTTGGTGTAGGTCTAGGCCTAGATAGAAAGGTCTGGGTCGCACCGCTGTAGGGCTCGACTTGTGATAAGATTAGGATATAATAGGTAACGAATGATGCCCCCTGGAGGAAGACTGTCCTTGGGGTTGTCACATGCCATCTGACCTCCTCACTGGTTGAGTACGACGACAGGCACCTCCTGAGGCCTAGCATCCACCCTCTACTACGACATGGACCTTTTTATTAAAAAAAAGAGAGAAAAAAAAAAGAAAGAAAACAAAAAAAAAAATCAGATACGAAAAAAAAAAAAAAAAAAAAAAAAAAAAAAAAAAAAAAAAAAACAGTATCAAGCAACAATTTGTATGTGTATTCCCCCTCCAACAGCAGCTTAATTAAACCTGTCCTTCACCACATTGTGATCTCTGTGACATGTAATCGGTCTCGTAAAATGGATATTCAATTGAAGTTTTCACCTCTTTCTGTCAGAGAATTTGCGCTCATGGAGGCTTCTTCTCTTGGACTGTTCAT